ATTAACTATCCTATATACAGATATTAACTATCCTATATACAGATATTAACTATCCTATATACAGATATTAACTATCCTATATACAGATATTAACTATACTATATACAGATATTAACTATCCTATATACAGATATTAACTATCCTATATACAGATATAAACTATCCTATATACAGATATTAACTATCCTATATACAGATATAAACTATCCTATATACAGATATAAACTATCCTATATACAGATATAAACTATCCTATATACAGATATTAACTATCCTATGTACTGATATTAACTATCCTATATACAGATATTAACTATCCTATATACAGATATTAACTATCCTATATACAGATATTAACTATCCTATATACAGATATTAACTATCCTATATACAGATATTAACTATCCTATATACAGATATTAACTATCCTATATACAGATATTAACTATACTATATAAAGATATTAACTATAAGAAGACAATAATAAGACCTGACGTGAATATAAAATTAGTTAAAATAAACGAGAAATAATAAAAGATGGTTGAATAATTGAAGAGTATAAGATATGACAGGATGCAGGATGTTTTACACCAGATGTCATGTAGCATTACCTTCATATCTCATAACTTCATTATTGTCATTATAGTCACAATGATTGCTACTGACACCTAGCGAACAAACCTTTAAATCTGTGTAAAGGGTCGATATTGCATAACAGTTAACTGCAGTTGGCATCTTGACGTGAATTTTTTTTACAGAAATTAAGAAATCTAACAATGTTTTTGGACTGTACACGATCTGGTGACTGTAATATTACATGACATGGTACGTACCCCTCGTCAAGAAAGCAAATCATTCATTGTAAAGCGTTTGGAAGTGATACGAGAAAGATGTCCTCTAATTTTCCATAATATAACTGACTACATGAATAAAATACAGGATCATCTGCCGAAAAGTCTCAGGATTCTAATGCAAATTGTTACCCATATAATTGTGGTAATCTCCAATTGAAAATGGCACATAGGTACGAGGGCTTCTAAACCTTAGCGTGTATATTGGGGACACTGATAGCTTCGAATTGCACCATTCCAAATTTCAGTATGATGTCTGTGTTATGTTACATTGTGTATCCGACGCCAGATATTGGCATCTCCAAATAAACGATGTCCGGAAACAAATAAACGTCCAGGACCAGAGTCTCATCCGAGATGTGTCAAATTCCTCCAAAACACTTGAGTCTTGATGATTATAAAAATGGACATATTGTTCATAATATTTCTAATCTCGTTACTTCAACTCACTGATATTGTCATAGCAGAAAAAAAACTGAAAATGGTGTAGTCTCCATCATCCATAGTCTTCGATTCTGTCATTCGTTGAGACATAATGAAATGAAGTGGAGTTTTACGTCTTACTTCTGTGCTCTAGTTTGGGCTAATTGAGACGTTTGACAATCCTCGGCAGTTTCCGTAAAGCTGAATCCTTCTCGGTTATAATGAATGGTGAATTTCGTTGTGTCTTCATGGGCGAGACTCTTTACTTTCGGTATTTTGCTGTAATTCACATTTCCTACTTGTGACCAGTGCTTCTATAAGAGAGTTCCTCTTATAAAACCTTATACCAAGGATTTTTCAAGTGATAGTAATATTGCTACCTGAATATAGTAACTATTTTATAGCCTTCAGGGGATAATTCTGACACAGCCTCTAATATCTAATATTGGACAAAGTTCCGGTAAATAATGGTTGCCATACATTGCCGTGATATGTTACATAGCAACTTTCTCGGAAGGCCTTTTGTAAGTGAGAGTGTCAATTAGAAGGCATATTGAAGTTACAGAATGTGTATGTTTAAGAAAGATACTTTGATGGCCGAAATGCAAATGGAGCATAATATAAGGTTATAATGCGACTGTTCAGAAAGAAAACTACCTTATTAACAGTATAAGTCTCATTCGGCTTGCAACCCAAGAAACGACATAGTAAAGTTAAAAAGGCAAGGCAATTGCTTTTGAGAGCAGTTGAATTTTTGTTTTCAACCTCTTCCAACAATATTTCAAAGAGTAGACCCATTTGTGGGTTGTGATATGCTTTCATTGTCTCGCGCCCCGCCTCAATACACGAGGAAAGATAATAAGCAGAACTTCTGCAAATTGAGAACAAACCAATACTAGTCTAGTTGTTCGAGACTAACCGATCGAATGAGATTGATTGACTCTGTCATTATCGCCGCCATTCATTTGTACGATAACTCGCCTGTCAATACCCGTGTTGCTCAAGGGCGACATTCTGTCCACTTATATTAAGGTCTCTTGTCAAACGTTACTCGCTAGATTAAAAGCTCTTTGTTGACGAGCAACAACAAATTGTCGTTCAACTACCCGCCCATTATTTGACTTGTCATGTAATTAGTTAATAGAAACTTTGACAAAGAACAATCACTCTGATTAAACTACAGATAGACACGATCATCAAGACACTCATTCCCCATGAAGAAAGCAAGACGATCGGGGTTCAAAGCACAATGGAGTTTTACGTCCTAATTTTTTGCTTCAAAGTGTTATTAGATCATGAACGCAAACATTTCCTCAACGGAAAGCACGATGACAAAGTTTGTTCTAATGAAAACAAGCATCGCTTAACGATCGACAAAAGCATCTTTTTGTGTAAGACCAGGCCTTAATAAAAAAAATGCCCATTCACATTACAGTAAGATCAAATGGACTGGGATTGATTCTTCAATTGTAGGGTAAATGGAAATCGTCCTCAGTATGATTATCTGTGGAATTTTTCTTGAAGAAGTTAAATTTAGTCATCTTTGTTCTAACTCGGATTTAATCAACAAGGGCACTGAATAAGACGATTGTAGCTATGTTTATATTAGCTCTTTAACATACCGATTGTAGCTATGTCTGTACTAGTTCTTTAACATACCGAGTGTAGCTATATCTGTATCAGCTCTTTAACATACCGAGTGTAGCTATGTTTATATCAGCTCTTTAACATACCGAGTGTAGCTATGTCTGTACTAGTTCTTTAACATACCGATTGTAGCTATGTCTGTATCAGCTCTTTAACATACCGAGTGTAGCTATATCTGTACTAGTTCTTTAACATACCGAGTGTAGCTATGTTTGTACTAGCTCTTTAACATACCGATTGTAGCTATGTCTGTACTAGCTCTTTAACATACCGATTGTAGCTATGTTTATATTAGCTCTTTAACATACCGAGTGTAGCTATGTCTATATCAGCTCTTTAACATACCGAGTGTAGCTATGTCTGTACTAGTTCTTTAACATACCGAGTGTAGCTATGTTTGTACTAGCTCTTTAACATACCGAGTGTAGCTATGTCTGTACTAGCTCTTTTACCGATTGTAGCTATATCTGTATCAGCTCTTTAACATACCGAGTGTAGCTATGTCTGTACTAGTTCTTTAACATACCGATTATAGCTATGTCTGTATCAGCTCTTTAACATACCGAGTGTAGCTATGTCTGTATCAGCTCTTTAACATACCGAGTGTAGCTATGTCTGTATCAACTCTTTAACATACCGAGTGAAGCTATGTCTGTACTAGTTCTTTAACATACCGAGTGTAGCTATGTCTGTATCAACTCTTTAACATACCGAGTGTAGCTATGTTTGTACTAGTTCTTTAACGTACCGAGTGTAGCTATGTCTGTACCAGCTCTTTAACCTTCCGAGTGTAGCTATGTCTACCCCTTGCTGTTGGTATTGACGGAGGCTGTCATGGCGAATTAAATATCTATCTATTTCTGATAAATAGGAGAAAGATTCTGAAGGTAAACCTAGCAGGAGTTTGTATTAAATTAGGAAAGCTGATAGGAGGAAAAAGAAGATCAAAAACTCGTTCTATCTCGAGATGTCAAGATTTTGACGTTTTCAACAACCGGCTTAACACTTTCAACTTAAGCTAGAGTTAAATTTCAAGTTTTTCAAAGAAATGAGATAGAGGTTGGGGTATGTGAAAAAGTACATACAATATTTTGAAGAAATGTTTATAATTCAAAATCATCAAAATATATGTAGGTGCGGCCAGACACGCCGTTTAAATACGTTTAAATACGGTAGAAAATAGAAGAAACGAATCAGGTCCAGACCCGTACCTCGTGTATTCTCTTCTTCTATTCTCTACAGTATCAATAATCTCGCACCGCACACCACATCGCACCGCACACCGAACCGACACCATACCTCGTCTATTTACTTCTTCTGTATTCTACTGTATCGATTATCCCACACCGCACACCGCACCGCACACCGAACCGACACCATACCTCGTCTGTTTACTTCTTCTAGCTGTGTCAAGCCTGGGGTATCCGCTCGGTGAGCCGGTCTGAGCGATTGTCATGGAAAGTGAGTTAACAATTCGGGGCGAAAACAGACAACCTTATGCATATTAAATTCCATTTGACACCTCTTGCCCTATTGAGGCACAGTATAGATTATGGGACGCAATGCTCACAGTTTATCATTATAGATAGTCTCGGATATCAAAAAGGAAGTTTTATTGAATATTCGTGATGTGACTAGTAAATCTGGATTAAGACGGGTATAAAATCATTACACTATTTTACAGTCAATTGATTTCTTTATTCACAATTCATGACAGATCATACGACATGTTTTTATTTTCTGGAATTTCTTAAGAATTTGTGTTATCGTAACGAGTTTGAATATCGTCTGCTATAAAGGTAACTAAGTGCCGTAGGTTTCACAACGACAAAGTGGGTCAGTGGTTGTTTACATTCCCTAGTCTGATTTTACCCGATATTCAGTTCCAGAAATGATACTTAAAACCGGAAATGATACTTTCTTAACCGGTGATATTCTATAACCAGGAGCGACATTCTATAACTGGAAATTGTAGATTCTACCACCGGAAGTGATATTAAACAATTGAAAGTTGCATATCACCGGAAGTAAGATTCTACCACAGGAAGTGATGTTCTCTCGTGCAGATATTACTGCAGAATGACGTCGAAATACACTAAACACATTCTGTGTATTAACATCAACTGCCGGGTAATGAAGACTGTCGTCACTTCCGCTGGTAATAATGTAATTAATAGTAGACGAATGGGGCATCGGAATTCCATTCTGTAATGTTATACGCATAAACGGAATTCTACTCTATTAACAGTAGAGAAAACACATATTAAGAAGACTATATCCTCTGTCAAAAACTTAATCAACAAATACATCATTCTTTTATAATTCAGACATGAATCTTCTCCTCGCTACCGACCGACCGACTTACTGAACTCAAAATATCATTTTACCCGCAATGCTTTATCTCAATTTAAGAAAATTACAGTGTTTTCATGATAGGAAATCCAAATCTATTCTGATTTCTGACAGGCCAATTACTCAATCGTCTAGAAAGCGATTAACTATAATCGAAACGAAATATGAAGCAAAGATTAGCTAGAATTAATAGAGAAACGTTTCAAAAGAAATCATCGTTCACCTTCTCGAGAACCCGATATTAATCATAATTATACTAGATCACAATTCTAACATTCAGACCCATTCCACTAACAAATAATACCAGAATTTATGAGACAAGTCAAAATCTCTGGCAGCCTACATAATTATTTCTTATGAAAATCTGTTCTCTGACAGAATCATTTAATAAATATGTGATCAATTATCTCGAGTTTTTATTCCTAACTGACAACTTTCTAATAAATAAAGCGAAACACATTAATATCACAATATACAACAGTCAATATTTCTTTCGTTTCTTGTCTAATATTTCTTCACATTCTGTCATCGATCCTGTAGAAAATTGAATTTAGTCATTAACTAATGTAAAAATGAGGAGTTTGATTTATTGTTTCGTTTTCTCGTTAGGAAAATATTAGAATATGTCAGGACTTTGTTTATGAGTCGAGTTTAAGTGACGGTTTGTATTGTACAGTAGGCTGTAAATTACATTGCTTGTCTTGTCAGTTATTCCATCTCTTCTTTCAGTTCAGAATTGAAATATAGAGGGCAAAACTTGCAACGATGCCAAGCGAAATTTCATATTTCACGACACGATTTTGAATAAGGTAAAAAAAAATTATAGAGAGTTCTTTATTCTTCATATCTCAAAAAGTAGGACGTAAAACTCATTTCACCCACCAACCCCCCACCCCCTATTTGCCCCAAATGCCGAAAAGTAATACACAAATACTACAGATATAGCGCATGCTGAGAAGTAGAATCTAAAATTCCAATTCATATCATTTTTCAAAGCAAACACTCAAATTCATGCCCATTGTCGCGTAAGTTACTCCGTTATTCGAACGCAACCATCATATGAACTGGTATTACTGACTCGTGGCCTTCTTCAGACGAGTTTTGAGTGACGCATTTTCTTTTTCTGAAGTATGGCACTTGACTTGTGAAGTTGACAATCCGGGCTTGATCGATTACCGATTTATCTTCGGCTTGTCATTTCTTCGTTTCGTGAAATTACCTGTAGATTGATCAGCGGGAGGAAATTTTAATTAACCGAATGAAATATGGCGGATATGGAAAATTAATAGCAATCAATCACCATAAATCAAAAATAATTTGAAACTTTAATCTTGTTGTGATTGACATTATAATATGAAACTTGCAGGACAAATTCTATTTTAGTAGGCTGCTCTCGAAAGACATATATTATGAGCCCTTTGTCTCAAATATTTTTACAATCGACTTTTGTCGTAATTTGAATGTAAAATTTCACACTTCCGACAAATTCCACTAGTCAGAATTTCAGAGAAATAATTCATCAAAATATTTATAATACCTTGCCGAAATTTTCTAGAAATTTATTCTTATCAGGTATTCTCTAGGCCTGGCCACGTACGATCTTAGCGCTAAGATGTCCTACATTCTTATCTTCTAACATTGATTCTAGGACATCCTAGCGCTAAGATCGTTTACGTGGCCTGGCCAATGGACTTTAATATGACTCTAAATCTATATGGTAAATGAACTATAGTAATATTACAGATGAAGTAATATATAGTTCAGTATTATTTTTAATATATGATTATCTTTAAGTTATGATATATCAGACAGCAATTCTACGTCTGGAGGTTATTTCTGAGACCCAATATGACTCTGTATCCAGACGGTAAATGAACTATGGTTATATTAAAGATGAAATGATTTAGTAGACTATAAACGAAGAGTAGAAGTCAGCTAGAATACAAACTATCAGGTAATGAGACAGACCGTCATTGGATTGTATTCGAGACTAGTAATAATCGATGATTTATGACTCTATAGAATGACTGGTAATATTAAACTACCGTCATATATCACTCCCTTACAATCTAGTCGACTTAATGACGAGTTGTCTCGCTAACAAATTATACCTCGTTAATATGGTGTAGTCAGTCTTATAGCCTAACAAATTACATTGTTTGGTTTTACCCGGCCTCGACGTATTAACTATTCATACATTGGACCAATCGAGAGTTTTGGTTGATTTCTGTGGTTGGAATAGACTCGAGAAAGACGCAGAAATTGGAATATAAAGGGTTGGATAATTCGGTCGCCTCATCTTCATAATTATGGTAAAACACCGAAAGCAGAAGGTGAGACCTTTGTCTTGTTCTTTCGTTCATTGTCTGTTTGGCCTATTATGAGTACGTAAAAATCTTATTGACAAGAGCACATCGCATCAGGCCTATACGTGTTTTAGATATATAATGCTCGCCAGGACAGCTACTAATCAGGGTATTTTTCAACGTTAAGGTTTAGGCATTCAAGCAAAGCAAACCAATTCCAAAGTCTAAGACAAATACACGAATATTCTACAGTAGGGAGACAAACCAAATTAACTTGAACTCATTCTGTTGAATTGTGTTTCAGAAATAAAGGCCTCGTCAGGACAATGGATTTGAAATTAAGATAAACTTTCTAACATTAAGACTTTAGACGTACCTCAGCGAAGCAAGTGACTCCCTGAAAGTTCTACTGTGTTAGGGGTTCAAAGCCGACTCCTGACCGACACCTGATCGACACCTGACCGACTTTCGAAAGCACTTCTTGTTACATCAGAACTTTTTAATCTTGAAGATTCGAACCTAAGGTGCTTAATCGCTAATCAGATGAAATCCAACTGGTTACTGACTGCCACAAAAGAAAGTATTGACAACCAGCTACTGTGTAATTTTACTACAGAATAAAGGGAAGTAATACATGTTTGTTGGTTTAAAGTTTTTAACAGTGTTGAGTCTTGGTCCTATCAGACGATTAATGATCCTCCGCCGTTACAGTATGGCTGGTTCAATCCCAATATTTCGGTATGGGCCGAGATTTTGCAATTATCGGAGGGGCTGATATGAAAAAATAGTGATTTTGCAGACAAAAATAATGAAGGGCAAAAGAGAGTCAGACTGCCGAGTATATTGACCTAGCCATGGCTCCCTTTTCTTTCCAAAGAAAGTGTATCAGGCCCGTAGCAAGACTTGATTGTTCGGAGGGGCAAGTTATATATCTGGAGGGGCATGTAATATATCTGGAGGGGCATGTAATATATCTGGACGGGCATGTAATATATCCGGAGGGGCAATGGTGTATGGTGTTTAGTTGCAATAATGGAATTGGTCGGTTGTCAGAAGTGTATACAAAAAAACTGCAGCAAACAATTTGCCATGTTTCTTAAACAACAATTCATGATATAATGATCACGTAGCAGTATATCGTGTGACGTCGCTTAAAGATGGCTTTCCTTATTTTTTATTGTCAAATTAAGCAAACTATTTGATAAATTGGTGTTTCTAATGAATTATTATGTATTCTTAATCATATCATTATGTTCTTATTGCATATAATTAAGAGTTTTAACCAATCATAAACGTCCATGTATGTACAGTCTGGATTAACAAAAGAGACCTTTCTTGATCGGTCTCTCACTGAAATTCTACTGGTAATTCTCTTCTAATTTAGCCAATTATAAATCAATTATGTACATGTGAGACAAACTGGTATTTTTCCAAGTCATTAGAACACCTCTACTTTCTATTCATATAAGTATTAGCATTTTGATTTAAATAAATAGAAATAACGGAACCCATCTTAAGGGAACATGACACTCTGAATGCATAATCCCAGATTTGATATCCGACAAAAAGATCGGATTTCTAGCCTGGCCTTTATAATTATAAAATGAAAGCTTTATGAAGCATGGTTCAACGACTCTTCTATTGGCAACAGAAAACCTTTCAATTTATCAAAATATTAAATCGGCATTAGTCTCTCACCTCTGTGCCAGGAACCTGTTCCAAATCTCCAAGGTAACCCAGCAAGAATCGTTAAATTTTGATTGTGGAGAGATTAAGCGACAAGCAGACGATTTAATGGTAAAATGGCTCGAAACGTGATCAAAGGTCCCTTGATATTTGTTTGACAAAACTATCCGATAATTACCACGAATGATTTATCGTCTGTTCGCATTATGAAGTAAGTAGACGGGCGTCATTAGTGTATTTATCACCTAGTTTAGACTTTATTGCTAAGTTGCATGACCTGATTATCGCCAAGGGTTGACCTTATTCCTCGTTAACCCGGTTCCGGTGTTTTTTCATTATTTCGATTTTTAATAAATAAACATTAATGGATACAACTCCAGCAACTATCACTGCCCAGAACATCCTTTTCTGGGGATTTATGGTTTTCGTTTTTTTAGTTTAAATTGTGTTCTGTATTTGTGATTGTCGTGCGCGAATGGGTCATAGGTCATAGTTAACCTTATTTCCGGGTTTTTTTTCATTGCCAACGTCCAAATAAATTATTTTGGTTTTTCAACATCTCAACTTATTTTTCTATCCTTGGCCAGTGCTTCCTTCTCCTACAATTTTTTTTTATTTTTACCGCAGACCTATTCTAATCCTTGACACTGTGAAGATGATTCCAGCCATAATTCAGAGACTGTTTCCGCAATTTCAAAAGACCACAAAGATTCGAATGCAGCAGTAATCCTCCCTCGGAGGTGTGTTCGATCATAATTCCGACACGAAGATAAAAGCGAGTGATAAATTATCAATAGTCTAGATAGTCTTCTGACAATATAACAGATGGATCTAACAAATAATTCATCTTGATAATTGAGTTGTTTCACTTCTACAAAACTTGCAAACATTTAAAATGTCCGACATTTACATTAAAACAGCCAAATAACATGCGATCTGTACATTTGTTGTCATCCAAAGGCGACACAATAATTGGATTTTTAAAGATGAGCTCTCAAGCCTTGTTTGCACTATTTATTAAAGATGTGCTCTTAAGCCTTGTTTACACGATTGTTGAAAATAAGCACTCAGGCCTTGTTAACACCATTTTTTTATGATCAGCTCTTGTTGACACTTAAAGATGAGCTCTCAAGAACGTATTTACACTATTTTCATAGATGAGCTCTCAAGCCTTGTTAACACGATTTTTAAAGCTGAGCTCTTAAGCCTTGTTTACGCGATTTTTTTAAGATCAGCTCTCAAGACTTGTTGACACTTTAAGCCTTGGTTGATTTTCAAAGGAGCTCTAAACCTTGAAACTTTGAGATGTCTCAAGCCGTGTTTACATGTTATTTAAAGACGACCTCTCAAGCCTTGTTGACACTTAAAGACGAGCTCTCAAGCCGTGTTTATGCGATTTTTAAATATGAATTCTTAAGCCTTGGTTACACTATCTTTTAAAGATGAGCTCCAAAGCCCGTAACGAAGAGATGTCTGGGAAATATCATTTAATACTCTGAGAATACCTGGATAGCAAACCTTGAATGTTTAACCCAGCCCAGGGTTGTTAGTTAAAGTAAAAAAATTCAGATGTGTATGTGATGGGTACAATGTGAACCCAGGGTTTATAGTAAATATACAAAATAACTCGTCAGTTTTGTGTTAGGTACAACGCGACCATGACTCGATAAACAAACACAGTAAGGGTACCTTGATAGTAACCCTTGATTTGAATGATTCAGTTAGCCCAGTGCTTTTAGTAAATGTACAAAATAACTCGAAGTTAAGTAAGAAGTCGCCAGTTTTGTATTAGGTACAAAGCGACCATAACTCAATAAATAGACATAAAACACTGTGATAGTATCTCACGACAGAACTCGATGATTAAAATTTACATCAATCTGTCAGCATTCTGACAAAACAAAATGAAATGCGAACTATAAGAAGTTGAAAGAAGGATGATATCTACTGATAAGACTGGTCGAGTGATTTAGTTAAACTGGTGAAAAGAAGAAAATAAAGGATGATTTATTCGACAGGCGTGAAAACATAAACAATCATCAACATCCTCGTAAAATATACTCTAAAATTTCTAAATACTTTCACAGATACCTGTCAATTTTAACATTATAAAGGGGTATTCACACTGACAGATTTTAATCTGGATTGACTTTTGATGAATAAAGATGGTTATTTACACATTTATTTATGTGCAATATGGATTGCTTCCCTTGGAAGTCTTATTTCTAAAAACATTCACAGATAGCTGCCAATTTGAACATCATGAGGGGGTATTCACACTGACAGATTTTAATCTGGATTGACTTTTGATGAATAAAGATGGTTATTTACACATTTATTTATGTACAATATGGATTGCTTCCCTTGGCAGTCTTATTTCTAAATACATTCACAGATAGCTGCCAATTTGAACATCATGAGGGGGTATTCACACTGACAGATTTTAATCTGGATTGACTTTTGATGAATAATGATGGTTATTTACACATTTATTTATGTAAAATATGGATTGCTTCCCTTGGCAGTCTTATTTCTAAATACATTCACAGATAGCTGCCAATTTGAACATCATGAGGGGGTATTCACACTGACAGATTTTAATCTGGATTGACTTTTGATGAATAATGATGGATATTTACACATTTATTTATGTAAAATATGGATTGCTTCCCTTGGCAGTCTTATTTCTAAATACTTTCACAGATACCTGTCAATTTGAACATTATAAAGGGTTATTCACACTGACAGATTCTAAGCTAGATTGGCTATTGGTGAATAACGATGGTTATTTACACATTTATTTATGTAAAATATGGATTGCTTCCCTTGGCAGTCTTATTACTAAATACATTCACAGATAGCTATTTTTACAATAAAAAGAAATATTCACACTAAGTGATTTCAAGCCAGATTGACTTTTGATGAATCTATATTTGATGAGGCTGCATTCACACTATAAGAACTTAAATATGTAACATCGATTGCTTCCCCTGGCAGTCCAGAATACGAAATTACAATACCTGTTAATATTAACATTATAAGGGGGTATTAACACTAACAGATTTTAAGGTCAATCGACTCTAGATAAATTCCGATTTCTAAAAATGCATTTACATAACAATATCTTAAATAAATGAATATGGATTACTTCCCTTGGCAGTGTAATTTCTAAATATATTCACAGATAGAGTCAAACACAGGTATTTCCAATGGTATAAAAGGTTTGACTAAACCCTCAATTCCATCAGAGCTTTGATATCATTAAATTTAAAAACCATAACGCACAATTAAATATAAATAAAGAAGGTATTTTTAAGCCACTCCCTCACTCAGATGTTTTATCATTCTAATAGCAAGTAATATGACTAATATACCTATTCGTTCCAGACTGATCTCATACAAACTATAGTTTCAATCATTTTTTCTGTCCAAATCAACGTCATCTACTGGCTACACTCGTATCAACTTCCGGTAGAATGGTATTAGTTACTCACGGAAACTATCGTGAGCCGAATGCTATAACTGACAACGAAATAAAT